CCTAAGTGACAAATAGCTTGTCGCGTATCAGGAGGACAGGGAACAGGGAGGCCCTGATTTCAGATAACCCTGCCAGGAACAGAGAAACGCAAGCGCCAGCTGGCCTGACATGCAGCTCGTGATCAGGCAGGGAAGGAAAGGGGGTTTGGGAGTGGGAACCATCACGGAGCGCTAACTTCTTGGCGACAACTGTTGGCTTTTGCAGCGGGGCTGCAGAGGGAGGGCGAGGCGCTGCACAGCATAGGTGCTGATGCCTAGGGTGCGCCATGGCTCAAGACCAAGGAGAAAAAAACGGTGCTTTGCAGCATTCCCTGTAAGCTGTGTGCAGCATGCCCACAGCTAGGTTTGTGTTTCTTCTGGTGGTGCACATTTGCACTGGCCTCAGTGCAAATAACAAAATGTATTCCCCATGTGGATAGAAAGATTGGGCATGAAATTGGCTTGTAGCAGCCAATCAGCAGTACTGCAGAGGCGATCAGCTGTTCAGCAGCAGGCGGAGGGAGGGGGGAGAGTAGCAAGCAGGGAGGCAGGGGGCCTCAGGGGAGGGGACTAAGTGGGGGGGGAGGAAGAGGCGGAGCAAGGGCAGGGCCTTTGGTGGCAGAGAAGGGAGGAGCCCAGGGGGGCCCACTGATGGAGCACCCACCACTGTCTGTGCTGTAGTCACATGGGGCAGGATATGGACGCGATCACATTCTCCGCACTTCACACCTGCTTTGCACATACTAGGGGGGGCGGCGCGAAGGAGACCAGCATCAAGTTTCTGCGGCAGCAAAGCAAAGCCCTGTGCATTAGCAATAGAGATGTAGCCGTGTTAGTCTGGTGTAGCTGAAACAATACACAGGACTATGTAGCACTTTAAAGACTAACAAGATGGTGATGAGCTTTCGTGGGCCAGTGTTTAGAATTAGAGGAATCTGAGGAAGTGGGTCTGGCCCACGAAAGCTCATCACCTAATAAACCATCTCGTTAGTCTTTAAAGTGCTGCCTCGTCCTGTTTTTTGTCTGTGCATTAGACACATGCTTAAAGCTGGCCCTGCCAGTGAAGGCCTCCACCCGGCCTGCCCTGAACGCCGAGCCGCCCGAACGCAAAGGCTGACCCACGTTTCCCCAAGCCCTGCTTTGGGCTCTTCGTTCTGCTTTCAGCTCTTTCATCCCCTACCTGCCAGGCAGCACCAGGGGCTGAGACTAAAGGATTCAGCAGCGTCTGGAGCCACACGGAAAGCGGGAATTCATTTCTCTCCTGCCTCTGGCGTGCGCGTCGGCTCGGCTCTGCCAGCCTCCAGGTTGGCTCAGATCGCGGCAGGGCTATTCGAGGCGACAGCCGCTTAGCGCAACAGGTCAAGCGTCGTTTCGGGGTGGAGGGTTGATGCGGACCAGACCAGTGTTTAGAATTAGAGGCCCGTGGAGCTGCGCTGACGGATGCCGGCCCAGAAAGAAAATGAAGCAGTGCCCCCGACCTCGGACCAGAACAGGGCAGGGCCGGGCCGTCACCCTTTCCAAAGAGCATCTTGGACAACACCCCCTGGGCCAGTCCCGCGCTGCTTTTAGTGCAGGGCCCCCTTCATTCTGATGTGCCACCATCCCTCCCGCAGCCTTGTTGGAGGGGTTACTGCCCCGGACTGCTGGCAAGTAGCAGAACCCCACACAGCCTGCAGCCCTCAAGGGGTCTGCCCCCCCCCCTTCCGGGGGGAAAGAGGATGGAAAATTTGCTCTCTCAGTGGCTTCTCCCTGGGCTCAGACCTGCACTGCCAAGGGGTAGATGTGCTGTGCGAGGCTAGTTCTTATCCAGGCTCCTGGCACCTGCTGGCCCCTTGTCCGCCCCTTGCAGAGGCTATGCTGGGGCTCCATGTTCCCGTTGCGTGTCTGTCAGACAGACAGACATTCACACACACACGTCTTTCCAAAGGCTCCACTGAGCTGGGCTGGTTCTAGCCTGCTCTGAACACCCTGCAGACAGTCGTGTGACACCAACACCCTAAGTCTCCTGTTCTGCCCCAGGAACAGCTTTTGTCACCCTGCGGCACCCACAGTGATGTGTGTGTGTGTGGGGGGGGGCTCCCAGGGCAACAGCTGCACATGGGGATCGAGCAGCCAGCCTCTGGCAGCCCCCTGCCAGTGTGGAGCCCTGCCAAAGGCCTTGTCAGAGGGACAGGGTCTCTGGAAGAGGCTGCAGGACACCCCAAGGCATTTGCAGGGAGAAATGATTCCTCCGGTGAGGTGGGCGTAGGCCCCCATGGCACGGCCACTGTGGGGTTCTTGTCAGAATATTTTGGCTGTAGGTGGTGTGTGCCTCAGTTTCCCTTATGTACTGCATGATTCAAGGGAGGGGAAAAGAGTTTTCTTTGCAGAAGGATCCAAAGATCCAGGATCTGGGCCCAGAAACGGCCTGGTGGTTTGTTACCTAGCAACTGACAACCTTGGCCTTCTCAGGGAAGCGGCTGAGTGAAAAAAGAGCAAGTCAAGAGCAGAGCTGATGACCCTCCAGAAATTGGAAGGCCCCTCTGGCCCCTGCTTGAGCAGAGTTGCAGAGATGAGGGCTCAGGGGGAAGCAGGGAGGCAGCAATGCAAATAAAAACGCTCCTGCAGGTTGCCGCCTTTGTGGCTTTATTGGATCCCTCTTGCAAATTAGGGCCCATTGTAAACCACTGGCTTCATGTGCCAGGCCCCTGGGAAATGCAGGAAGAGCTCCCGGCTGCCTGTCCGTGCTGGGCCTCAATCCGGGCATGGAGCTGCCCTGGAAAAGGTGGTAGATGAGGTGGCAGGGGAGAAGACGACAGAGCAGGTGGGAGAGGAGCGGGCTAGTGAAAGCTCCATCCTGCTGCGGCTGGTGAGACTTTCCAACCTCTTCCATGGGACTGGCAGGGTCACCCCGGCCGCTGGCACTGGGCATCCTCGATCGCCACAGGGCGCTCAGGGCCCAGCCGCCGTGGAGCCTGGCAGGCTGCAGCACGCTGTCTCCACAGACGGGGGCCCCACGCATGTGCCCAGGACTCACCCCAGGAGACAATTCTGGCAGATCAGCTGCCTGGGCTGGTCGGGAACAGAGCAAAGGGCTGTGCAGGGGATTTCAGGGTCTTTCATTGTTAAACCAGCCTCTGGCAGGCCTGGGTGTTCCCCAGGCACGTGTGGGACTCTGCTGCGCAGCTGAAGGTTTCAGGCGCCTTTGCTGCGGGAAATCCCTTTCCTTGCCCCCAGCTGGAGCTGGGCTCTGGGTGGGGATCTTGTGAGCAGATACAGAAGCCGCTAAGCCCCCACCCCCCCGCGCTCTGGGGTTGGATCCTGGGTGAGGGCTTGTGGGCGGGATGGAGAAGGGCTGGCAGGAGGCGGATGGGGGAGAGCAGCCAGGAAGAGTGGGAGCGGCCGCAGGAAGAGCCAGCATCAGTTTCAGCATCAGGGGTCTGGGGATGGAGGAGAGAGCCCAGTGCAGGCGGCGTCTGTCACAAGGGGCGTCCCCAGCGGAGGAACCGCACCCACCAGACTCTGAGGGGCTGCAGCACAAGCAGCCGGCTCCTTCCTGCTCACCGCCGTGCGCCCAGCTCCTCAGCTGAGAGATTTCATCAGGGCGTGGGCCTGCCTCAGCTCTGAAAGGGGAAGAGGAGACACGATCCACCAGTGTGGGCAGTGACCTGGCTCTCCGAGGGGGGGCGCTGCAGACAGCTCCCAGTTCTCCCGTCGCCCCTCGGCCGGGCCCCAGCCAAGACCTGGCAGACGGGACACGGGAGGAAGCAGCCAGCAGGGTAGGGATGGGCGAGCGATTCCAAGCTGCCCGTCTGCCATCGACTCACCTGCCAGCAAGACCCGGAACTTCTCTGCCGACACGGTCATGGCAAGGGGCTCTGTCACGCCCCTGTCCTCGTCTCGCACGGCCAACTTCAGGTGCACCAGCGGCTCGTTCACCTGCTGGAGCTCTCAGGAGCTGAGCGTGTGATCCACCCTCCAGGACACCGAGTCCAGACGGCTCACTGAGGAGAGGCAGAGCCAGGCTCAGGTTTGCGCTGTCGATAGACAACACCCTCGCGATGCTAGAGCTGGGGAAGCCCTTTTCAAAACCTTTCGGCTGCTTCCCCCGCCCTGTAATGCAGCCAGCTCTGGTGTGGGCGCCACACCCCTTTTACCAGCCCACAGCAACAGCATCAGACTGATTAAATGTCTCCAGCTGAAATAAGGGCGTGTGGGTCCGTGGAGCAGAGTGTGGCTGGAAGACCACCTCCTCAGATCTCTCCTTTTGGCCGAAACAGGAAACGCGGTGTCCTCCAATGCGCAGCCAGGCACTGCTTCAACACCAGCTCAAGGGTAGAGCCACCCTCTCCCTGCCGCACTTGGATTGTCCCGGTGGTGAACTACCCTGGCCAGACCCCAACCTGCCCAGCTGATGAGCTCTGAACCAGGTCTGCCCATCCCCTTGGCCGCCCACCGCCTGGGACACGTACTCAGCCCTCAGCAAGCGGCGTCCCTGCTCCTCATCCCTCAGGAGCAAGTTCTCCCCAAGAAGTCCCCGAGAAGAAGGCCTGCAAAGGGCCCAATTCCATTCCATTCATGGGCACGCTGAGGGGTGGGGCAGCAGGTGACAGCTTGTACCCGGCTGTAGGGCTGTGTGTAGGACAGAGGCCCGGAGCCAGACACTTACACCTCAGGCTGCGCGCCCTCAGGATGTCCTGCAGGGGGCTCTGTTTCTCCTCGTAGGACCGGCACAAGCCCGTGGCATGTTCTGCAAACCAAGGAGACCACGAAATCACCCACCAAAGAGCCTCCGATCAGACGCCAGTCCCACGGTCTCAGGAGGGCCCCTGGCTGCAAACAGCAGAGCTGCCTGCTTAACAGGGCTCTGGCAGGCTGCTATGCTGGGCCCACGTGGGAGAACAGGGGAACAAAGGTACAGCAGGGCATTCCCATCAGTGCAGGGCCCAGCTACCGCTCCAAAGTCTTTCCAACTGGCTGGCACCACGTGTTCTAGCGTCTCGCTGCTGGGGAGGGCAGGGACCCCCAACCCAGCAGGGACCAGCTCCTGCCCA